GTGTGTGTGTGTGTGTGTGTGTGTGTGTGTGTGTGTGTGTGTGTGTGCGCGCGTGCTCTGTCTTGCCCTTACCATGCATGGTCTCTAACTGTACAATACATCTTTCCCTCACCATATGTGGTCTCTATCTATACAATGGATCTTGCCCTTACATGGTCTTGCATGCTTATTTAGGTCTCTTCTTCCCAGTCAGATTGCTAAGCTGTTTACTTCAGATGTCAGAACTAAGTCACCTTTGTATTTCCTATCCATTTCTAATAAGATTAGAAATGACAGCTCATCCAATTGTGCCTAATGGGCAGCAGAGTGCAGCCTCTGCGTGATGGTTAGTGAGTGGACGTAACAGAGTCCTCCAAGTTCTAGCTCTGGTTCTCATACCAACCTTATGACATCAGATGAATAACTTATTGGTGACCTTCAGTCGCTTTGGCTTTAACATGAAGATATTAGCTAAAATAATCACTGAAGATCCTTCAAAGTTCAGACCATGACAAGACTACAAGTGAGTAAATTAGCTTCTGAATAAAAAGCTCCACAAACTTAAGCAATTGTGCTTCTCTGCTTTCTCTTGTTGAATGGTTAACATAGAACATTTTATGACAGGTTTTGACTGTATCATTTATCATAAACAGCAGAGGCTGCAGAAATGTGAAAAGCAGAAGGCTTAGAGAGCACAAAGAAGAAAGCCATACAAACAGAAAACCGCAGAATGGGGAGAGGAAGGGAACTGAAGATAATTCAATATGGTTATCACTTAACTGCTCCTAACTGAGGCAACCCTAGTTATCTGCTACCTAATAGACAAAGATTGTGAAAATCGGTTCTCTTCTACACCCCCCCCCAAAATGACCATCCTGAAGAAAAACAGGGGGAGGAGACTAGCAAGATGGCCAGTGGGTAAAAGCTTCTCTGTCAAGTTTGATGACTCTTGTTCAGTCATTGGGACCCATGTGGTGGAAGGAGAAAACTAAATCTCATTGGTTTTCCTCTGACTTAACATGTGTACACACACACATGCATGCACACACACATACCACACACACACATGAACACACACACACCAAATAAATAAATACACAAAAAAGGAACAGATGGAGTCCTGCAGGCTTTTAACTCCTGTCTGCTACAGCGCTCCATCAGAGGCACAAGGCTGGCATTAACCTCTGGCAGTGAAAGTCGGAAGACAGCGCTATCACAAAGAAAGGAAGCCTGGTGTCTCAGCCTCTCTTCCCGGTGCTGTAATAAAACAGCACAAGCAATATTGTGGGTTGGAGCTGCTCACAGAGCACCCACTGCATCAGTGAATGTATGCACCCTGGTGCTCAGCTGACTGCCTCCATTCACGTGCAGTCCAGGACACCTGTCTAGGAAATCCTGCCACCCACTGTGGGCGGGTCTTCCCACCTCAGTTAATGTGGTAAAGGGAATGCCCTGCTAACACGATCAGAGCCAGTCTCCCAGATGATTCTTGATCCTGTTGACAACCCCACCACAATGGGCCTAACGTACTCGTCTGTCATCTCAGCCACTCAGGAGACTGAGGCAGACAGATCATATGGTCAAGCCATGCAGAGTGAGTTCAAACCCAGCCCAAGCAGTTTATGAGACCATGTCTTTACGTATAAAAAGAGGCGCTGGGTTAGCATGGCAGGTAGCTTATCAGCCTGATCAGTATATAAAGAGTCTCGAGGTGTGGCCCAATGATAGAATCCTTGCCTACCAAGCAGAAGGACATAGGTTTAATCCCCAGTATAGTGGGGGGAGGAGGGAGAAGGAAGGAGAAGATAGAGGCAAGGGAGGAACAGGGGAAAAAAATTGGCCTAGACTTGCAATTTTTGATTGGTAGTAATTACTATTTATTTGTCATTGTTTTAAATGTTTTCTATTTTAAACCTCTTATTTTTGTTTCACGAGCTGGGTCTCTATATACCCAAACTGGCCTCAAATCCACTACATACCGCAGGCAGCCCTCAAACTTGTGATTCCCTCGCCTGAGCTGCTGAGATTCCCGGCATGCACCACCGGAGTTGGCACCACTGTCTCTCTACATCTTGAAGGGAATCCACATCGTCCGTGAAGGGCATGGTTTGTTGAGAATGATTGCTTGAAGAGGTAGTTACATACGAAAGCATTTTTTTGCTCTCCTTTTACAGATTCAGGATGGCAGCTGGCACTCGGCAAAATTCCTTTTCCACACCCAGAATCCTAATCAGCTTCCCGTGACTGAAGTCCAAAGCCTTCCTCATCTCAGAACTGAGCGAAAGCACTACTTTGAAAGCAGTTCCGTGTGCTTTCTCTGAGGCCTCTGCGGGGGCGCGGAAGCTGGGCTGCTGCTCAGGTAATTGCAGAGGGAGAAGTGTAGACAGAAACGTGTGTCGTTATGAAATGTGCGAGGAAAAAGACGAGCTAAATCTTCAGAACTCTCAGGAAGAAAAGATTTCCTCCTAAGGAGAAACGGCATTTTTTTTAAAGGACTATGATAATGTATTTAATTCTCTTACAGGTTTTTGTTTTTTTTTTTGTCATTGATCTGCGTTTTCGTAAAGAATTCCCTAGGATGGAAAATTTCTAAACTTGGAATTCTTGAGGGTGTCCTGTGCTTTCGTCCCTTTAGACAGCTGGAGCTGTGGGGAACTGGGGAGCAGTACTGGATAGTGCTCCAGGCGGTGTGATATGTCTGTCTAAACCTCGCCAGCCACAGTCTGCAGCACCTTCTCTGCCCAAACACTAAGCTGTATTCGGTCCCCCCGTGGGCATATAAAATCTTAGCCGGTGTACACTACCTCTTCCGTGTTGCCCTTTTGTGTTGCTTGGTGCTGTTTCTCAGAACAGGGTGCTGTGGCTGTCACAGACTCTCTTACTCCTTTCCTCATCTTCGTCATTAAGAGTGTATGTACTGGTTACATCAAGATGTCTTAATTGTTAACGCTTATTTCCATTTGTTTGGTCTCCCACTGAATAACAAGTAAAGCTATTTATGCCAAGTCCTTATTTTATTTTAGAATTCTCTTTGTGCACACGAAGTCAAGGCCAGCATGTCCTAACTCGTGCATACTCACAAGAGAATTGGGGTGTTTCTTTTGGGTTTTCTGTTTTGTTCCGTTTTCTTTAAATTGCTGTAAAGAGTACTTAAGGCCACCTATATCCAGTGGTAGATTTGGGTTATTGTTTGTGATGTACTGTTTTAAAACTCCAAGATCATCTGGAATGATATTTTGTATATATATAAATATTGTGTAAAGTTTTGATTCAGCCAACCTTTTGAAAACTGCTGCTGTTTTAAATTATAAAACTTTATATTTATGCTTTGTAGAAAATATTTGCTCTTTAGTATTCATTGATTTTTTTTCACTGTTCTTAAATATAATGCTAGTGCTTAAAAGAATTTTATAGTCTTTCAAACAGCATTATGAATTGAGGGAGTCTTTTTCCACTAAAACAAGCTTGGCCCATTCAGACTTTTGCTGTTGTCAGAGAAAAATGTTAGTTCAATATTAAAAGAAAAAGATTATGCCGCTTGCTGTATGGACAAGCCTGATGTTCATCTATTACAAGCATACCGTTAACCTCAACCAACCACATTTACCTATCTATAATAAAGAGGTGCTTTAAAATCATTTTTGAGTGACTCTTGTCTGCATTTATTAACATACTCATGTGTTACATATAATAACCCCTCTGCCATCCAAACTACGTATGTTTTCATTATTAGAGAACATGTATGATTACTGAAGGAACATAGGTCCTGTTTCCCATTTTTACATATTGAAGACACAGTGCAGGAACAACCATGGCCTAAGAAATGCTGAGTGATTTCCAACAAGGATGTCAGCGCCATCCAGAGGACAAAGAGAAATGTTCTCAACAAAGGGAGCTGGGGAAACTGAGTATCCATCTGCCAGAAAAGACTGTAGGCAATCTCCTTTCTTAGTAATATGAAACAGCTCACCTGGGATCAGAGCAAAAACAGGCTCTCAGAAGAAGCTCAGAAAACCTTCTCAACATTTGATGATAATTTCCGAGATTAATACCAAAAACACAGTTAGGACAAGATCCTAGATAGAGTGGACTATACTTTAAAAACTTGAATTTAAAAGACACTATCAAAAGAGGAAAGAAGCGGCCCACAAAATGGTAGAAAATGCTGCCATTTATATCTAACAGAGGATTAATATATATAAAAACTGTCTAATACTGTAACTCAACAATATAAAAACAACCTAATCTTTCAAGATGGGAAAGTGGCTCAAAATGGCATTTTTCCAAAGAAGATGTGCCAATGGCCAGTAAGAGAAAAGATGCTCATAATTGTTCATAATTCAGGAAATGTTACTCAAAGCCACAATAAAATACCTCTTTTATGATTTTGACATTTGTCCCCAGTTCCTGTCACAGGAGATTTAAAGCTCTGGGACTTACATGAATAAAGAGAGTCTTGTTATTTGCAATGAGACAATTAAAGTAACAGGAAACAAAAGATGAGTTTATGCTAATGAAATAATTTAGTTTGGGGATTTTTATATACACAGTTTTTGGACAGGACCTTCCTCTATAGCCTAGACTAACCTAGAACTCCTGTGTTTCAGGGAGGTTTTGAACACATAGCTGTCCTCCTGTTTCAGCACACACACACCCCAATTGCTGGGATTACAAGTTCATAACACCAAGCCCAGATGACAGAGAAGACCTCAGGATATGGTCGATTAAACAAACAAACAACAAAAATCAAATGATTAGAATGGAACTTCCAGCCCCATCTACATCACTTGGGAAGAAAGGTCAGGTCCCAGCCATTAAGCCTCTATAAAAAGTTAAATAATAAGCTTTCTCATTGGTAGATAGACCCACCTTCTCAGAAATAGTATATCCAGAGAGGGCACCAAAGCTCAGCACTGTGTCTCAGCCCTGACTACGCATCCTTTTTGTATCCTCTAACAATAAATAGAAATGGAAGCCAAGTCTTCCCTTAAGTTCTGTGAACCATTCTACCAAATCACCAAACTTGAGAAAGGAGTTGTGATGATTGTGTAATTGTATTTTATTATCAAAATTACATGTGACCTAGAATTTATCCTTGGCATCTGGAGTGAGGGCCTGAACCCACAGGAATGTGATGCTAAATCCAGGTAGTGTTAATCAGGCACCCAAATTGGTGTCTGAAGACTTTTTGTGTGTACTCTAGAATTTACACCCCATAGTACAGTTGTTATTGAAAAAACAAAATGAGCAAGTAGAAATGAAAATAGCAAGCATTCATTAGAATGTGGAGAAATTGAAAGCATTGTGCATAACTAGTGGAAAGCTGTGGCCACTGTGAAAAACTGTTTTGTGGTTCATCAAAAAGTTAAGTAGAACTGTCACATCATCTAATTTTTCTTCTGTGTGTATATCCAGAGCAAGGATCAAGCAGATATTTATATGTTAGTACTCAGTGGGGCATTATTCACAAAAGCTCAAAGCTACATATAACTCAATTGTTAACTAAGAGATGGGTAGATAAGAAAAATATGATATTTTCATGTAATACGATATTCTGCAACTTTAAAATGCATGAAATACTAATATATGGGGGAATCTTGAAACCACTAAGTGAAGTTAAGCCAGCTACAAAAGGACCGATAAGACAGGATTCCCTTTGTATGAGGGAACAAGAGCAGACCAACTCGTCATACACACAGCTATCATAAGACAGACTAGCAGAGCTTGGAATCAGGCGGGAAATGTCTTAAATAACTAAAGTGAAACACATAAAGAAATTCTCTTTAGGATGATGGCAAAATCCGGAAGATGGAATAGTGCTGCTTGGACAACTTAAATGTGCCAGTATCACTGGATTTTGTACTTTAAAATTATTTCAGTAGTATGTTGTTATGTGTTTTTCATATGTGACTTTAAAAGAAACCATAGCAAAGATGTCTGACTTGATGTCCAAGGAAAATAAAAATGTTTTTAGAGGTTGATGCTAATGAGAAAACCATATCCTGCAACTGAGTTCGTGTCTGCAGGCTATCCCTGTTCCGAATATTAACTACTTATTTCTGAACAACAAATCATAAGTTACATTTCTAGGTAACATTCAAGAAATACATAAAGACACACAGAGAGTGACCAGGAAAGACAGAGGGGAAGGGCAGAGGGGGGAGAGGGAGGGAAATAGAGGGCGAGAGAGTACATGTGGAAATAATGTGCTTTATGGCTCACTTCATTTATTCGGTTTTGTCTTCTATTTGGTTTTCAAGCAGGATCTCACTGTAGCCCAGGCTGACCTCAAACTCATTATTTAGCCAAGGCTGACCTTGAACTATCCTCCTGCATTTACCTTCCGAATGCCAAGCATACAGTTGGGCACCACCAAATGTGCCATTATGCTTTAAATGTGTTGCAGAAGCGTTCAATTCAAGACAAATCACCTTAAGTGCAGCCAAAAGATGGTTAATAATGCTATGAAGGTCAGCTATGTGATTTTAGGATATTGTATGTTCATCATCTCCAATTCTTCATATTAAACGAAGATAATTAAAAGTACTTCTCTCATTTGGTTGCTGAATAGATTCAATAACTTGGCATAGGAAACTGCTTAGAACAGAGCTTGATATTTATGCTTGTATGATTCCCACTGCGGCTGCTGCCTTTGTCATCATTAAAGACTCAGTCAGTCTGTGGTTATCACTGAAGAGAGTTGTACTGAATCTTTAATGAAACTGTGCGAGGAAGAAAGAGATGATTCCCAGTTGTCAGGACTTTCACACCACATGATGGAAATACCTTTGCATGGTAGATTTCAGGTAGGAACATGAAGTCAGGCTACCCATATTATTTGCTTTGTAAATGTACATTTTATATATGTTCAATTTTTTTTAAAAATAAGATTTGCTTATGTCTATACATAATTAAGAAAAGCAACTTGCTTTCCAACCCATTTTTAAGCTTTTAATTTTTAAATATTTGTTTTATATGTGTATGTATGTGCCTGTACACTCGTATGTGTAGAAGCCTGGAGAGATCAGAAGAGCATCAGATTTCCTGGATCGGGGGCTACAGGTGGTTGTGAGCCACCTGTATGTGGGTGCTGGAAAGTGAACCCAGGTCCTATGCAAGAGCAGTAACTCCTGAGCCATCTAAACTGCTGTGGTCTTTGCGAGGTATCATGGATTTTTACTGTGATGTAAAACATTGAAATGATGGTGGACGTGAAGAGAGAAGCTTCCCCATATTGAAAGGCTGCTGTCTGGTTGTCCAGTCAGTTATGGAAGGAAGGGCACTGAAGTCTCCAGTTCTGCTCGAACACTTTCCTCTTTGCATTAAATGTATAATTGGTCTCATTCAGCTAATCTGGTTTTATGCTGGCAAACAACTAGCGCGGGGTGGGGGGGGGGGGGAGCCAACTCCTAATTGCCAGCATTTGCTGTCTCCATTGCGTAAATATTTCTATCATGGTTGATTTCAAGCTATGAATTCATATTACCACACATAAAGATTGGGGGGGGGGCATGTGGCT